GTCAAAATGTCATCATAGAAGTGTAAGGACTTTTAATCAAGTCATCACTGCTATGTAATGGCATGTACAATAAACTCACACAATAGGCTGCATGTGGTTAGGAACATTGCTGAGACAACAAAAATGCCTAATGCCTGCTGGGAAAGGGAAAACTTCAGAAAGCAATGGGGCTGTCACATGTTCCTATTACTGTATGTGCATGAAGGTTTTGATGCCAAGGAGAATATGCAAAACCTTAAGCTTCCCAGCTGAATTTACTTTTTTGTATGGAATTAATTCACTGTGTCTTCACTTTGACAGGTGTATACACAGTAATGTTTGTTAAAATATCCAGACCCAGGAGCTTTAGGGAGCCCTCCTGGAGTTTTTGCTGAGTGACTTTAAAGACCATTTTTCTTCTGCGTGCTCACATTGCAGAGGTTAAGCCCATCTTCCAGGACTTTGCTAGTAGTAGTAAGAGATTATAAACACAATATGAAACTCTGCTGAAATAAAGTCCCCTTCTGAGAGCTACCATAACCAGAAAGTAATGGAGATACGGCAAATTTGTAACAACAGGCAATCAAAAAGTCAGATGTCTAGGACTGCATATAGTGTCTGTACTTACATTCAAATGTCTTCCTTGAGATCTGTAAATTCCACCAAATTGCCGTGTCCAATACTTTTGATAACAGAGGAAGGAGTTATCACAGTCTTCTCTGGCTGACTCCCTCATGCACAGCCAGAAGCAGGTGAATTAAACCTCCTCCAGTATTATCTAAGCCCTAATTACCCCAGCACGGGCTCTGCAGAACCCTTTTCCCTGCTTCCTCTATTCCGTCTTCTCACCTCCATCTCAAAAGAGATTGCCACAGGTGACAAGGCCAGTCCTGTCCTTCAGTTTTGGAAGAAAAAGGCCCTTGGCCTGACTAAGGCCATCCTCACTCCTGTCCCTACTCGCTGGTTTTTATACCTTCACTTCCGTCTGCCTCCAAATATGCCCAAATGTCCTCCTGTCCTGGAAAGTGAAAAAACAGAAAGGAAAAGCACAACCTTTGCCAGCCCCTGCTGTTTCTCCTCTTCCTTTAGGGAAACCTGGCAGACCTCTTGCAGGGGCTGTCCTTTGCTTCCACAACAACCATTCCTGCCTCATTGAAGTGTAGGTTCACTCCTCCCTGCCCCTAAGAGTCGGTGATCTGGTCCTTGTCAAATCTACTGGACTTGTTCCTAGTTTTATTGTGCCTTGACCTTTTTTTAGTAGGTTAAGTGAAACAACCTCGTGTATTCTCAAGGACCTGGGACACCATAGCCCTACATCAGTTGTAGCTGAGCTTCACTAACATAGTTCTGGAAGTCTCTGATAGCCTCCATAACATCACGCTTTCATCATTCTCATATGTTGGCGACCAATGCCCTTCTTCTTTCATCTCCTAGTTATGGGCATACCCAGAGTTTGACTCTTGGGCTCTCCTTCCTTTTCTCTCATTTCTGGCAGTTTCATCTGTTCTCACAACCTCAGTTCTCACCAAATTTTGATGGTCCCCAATTCTTTCTAGCTCTGAGCTCCAGTGCCCAAAATTCTGCCAAATTAGTATTTGCTCTGCTTCCACATACAGAAAATATCTAAGCCTATATTATCACCTTGTCTCACAGCTCCCCAAGCCATTTCCTCCTTTCTTAAGATGGCCTTTCTTTTTTTTTTTTTTTTTTTTTTTCCGTTTGAGATGGAGTTTCAGTCTTGTTGCCCAGGCTGGAGTGCAATGGCACGACCTTGGCTCACTGCAACCTCTGCCTCCTAGATTCAAGCAATCCTCATGCCTTATCCTCCTGAGTAGCTGGGATTACAGATGCTCACCACCACACCCGGCTAATTTTTGTATTTTAAAGTAGAGACAGGGTTTTGCCATGTTGGCCAGGCTGGTCCTGACCTCAGGGGATCCGCCCACCTTGGCCTCCCAAAGTGCTGGGATTACAGGCATGAGCCACTGCGCCCGGTCAAGATGGCCTTATTTTATAAGTGACATTACCCACAGTAAACCCTGGGACATCCCCAACTTCCCCATGCTATACAGAACCATCCAATTAGATCTCAACTCCCACTAACCCTTTTGTCCATTATCTTGATCATATGATTGGTTCATTCCACCCCATTTATCACCCTAGTTCTGTCCTTTAGTGCCTTAAGCCTAGGTTATTGCATTAACCCTTGCACGGACCCTTTCTCCAATCTCTCTCTTCTCCACCCTAAACCACCCGCCATCGACCAGACCAGTTACCCTAAAGCAGTGCCTTCATCATGATACTGCAATCAAAATTTGACACAAGATAAAGACTGAAACCCTGTACCTGATGTTTTAGGTCCTCCATCATCTGGCACAACTATTCCTCTACATAAATCTTTCTAACTCTCTCCCCAGACCACCTTAAGCATACCAGGAACATGCCGTCTTAGCATCTTTGTTCATACTGCAGCCGTGACATATTCTTCCTGCTGGGCCAAGCACCAAAGACTAGCTGGCCTAGGACTTGGAATTAGAAATAGGTGAAGTGGCAATGAGAAACCATCTCACACCAGTTAAGAATGGCGATCATTAAAATGTCAGGAAACAACAGGTGCTGGAGACGATGTGGAGAAACAGGAACGCTTTTACACTGTTGGTGGGAGTGTAAACTAGTTTAACCATTGTGGAAGACACTGTGGCGATTCTCAAGGATCTAGAACTAGAAATACCATTTGACCCAGTGATCCCGTTACTACGTATATACCCAAAGGATTATAAATCATGCTACTATAAAGATACATGCACATGTATGTTTATTGCAGCACTATAGCAAAGACTTGGAACGAACCCAAATGCCCATCAATGATAGACTGGATTAAGAAAATGTGGCAGATATACACCATGGAATACTATGCAGCCATAAAAAAGGATGAGTTCATGTCCTTTGTAGCGACATGGATGAAGCTGGAAACCATCATTCTGAGCAAACTATCACAAGGACAAAAAACCAAACACTGCATGTTCTCACTCATAGGTGGGAATTGAACAATGAGAACACCTGGACACAGGGCGGGGAACATCACACACCGGGACCTGTCATGCAGTGGGGGGATGGGGGAGAGAGAGCATTAGGAGAAATGCCTAATGTAAATGACGAGTTAATGGGTGCAGCAAACGAACATGGCACATGTATACATATGTAACAAACCTGCACATTATGCACATGTACCCTAGAACTTAAAGTATTAAAAAAATATATAGGTGAGGGAGGAATGTAGACACTGGTTTCTTTGGATAGATCTGAAAGTGTGAGCTTTTACACATCTGAGTAAATTTTTTTCTCATAAAACATCTCACACCCTCAAGGTGTGAAACTCCAGGAGGGATACAAAAATCTATTCAACCTGTAACCTTCAGGAATATAATCAAATATTATATAAGTAATTTAATTCAAAATGTTATGGAACTTTTTGTTGTTTAATAGATACAGAGCCTCAGTTTTGTAAGATGAAAAAGTTCTGGGCTGGGAGTGGTGGCTCATTCCTGTAATCTCAGCACTTTGGGAGGCCGAGGCAGGAGGATTGCTTGAGTTCAGGAGTTTAAGACCAGCCTGGGCAACATAGTTGTTAGCAGCTGCAAGTATCCAAGTCACAGGTCTGCAAAGTATGTTACCAGCAGAACATATCAGTATCCATACAGGTCTACAGCAACCTCAATTCTTACCTCCTCAGAAGAAAGAATTCGACTGAGAAGCATAAGGTAGAAGGAGAGATGAAGGCAAGTTTTAGAGCATAAGTGAAAGTTGATGAAAAAGCTTTAGAGCAGGAAGGAAAGAAAGTATACTTAGAAGAGGGCCAAGCAGACGGCTGGAAAGGCAAGTGCACAATTTGACCTTTTAACTTGGGGTTTTATGCACTGGCATACTTACAGTCTCTTGCATCCCTTCTCCCATCTCCTAAGATCTTGTTAGGAAGCAGCTGATCACCAGTTTCAGGTGTTTTCTATCTATTAGAAGCTGGCCGTTCCCTGGTGCCGGCTGTGACCAATTATTACTTTAGCGAGACAGTTAACAACCGCCTGACCATCACCTGATGGTCATCCAGCACTCCTGGTGTGTGTGAGGCGGGGGGCCCTCTCCCAACCTGCTCATACAACACTAGCTACCCACTGTAACATAGTGAGACCCTGTCTCTAACACACACACATACACACACATGCACACATACACACGCATACACACACACACACACACACACAAAGCCTGGCACAGTGGTGTGTGCCTATAGTCCCAGCTACTTGGGAGGCTGAGGCAGGAGGATCACTTGAGCCCAGGAGATTGAGGCAGTGAGTTATGATTGTGCCACTGCACTCTGGCCTAGATGACAGAGTGAGAACCTGTCTCAAAAAAAAAAAAAAAAAAACAGTTCTGGATATTGGTTGCCCTTAACACACTTGAACAGTACACTTAAAAATAATTAAGATGGGCCAGGCACGGTGGCTCATGCCTGTAATCCCAGCACTTTGGGAGGCCAAGGTGGGCGATCACTTGAGGTCGGGAGTTCGAGAACCAAGATCGTGCCATTGCACTCCAGTCTGAGCGACAGAGTGAGACTCCATCTCAAGGCAAAAAAAAAAAAAAGGCTAAGATGACAAATTTTATGCTATGTGTACTTTATCACAATTAAAAATAAAAATTAAATTAAAAATACCTTGGGACTCCAAAGAAGGCTAATTTTTCCAACAGTCAGAGGAAGTGGTCTCTGAGTTAAGCCCAGAAGCATGGGTGGGATGGTGACAATAGCAGCTAACGCTCTGTCCTGAGCCTTTCATGTACATGAACTTGATTAAAGCGCTCTATACTCCACCAGATGGATGCTATTACTCTCTCCAGCCTGACTCTAGAATCCAAGAGAAAGGCAGAATTCTTTGATTTATCTTTTGGTTTATCGCTTTAAAAATATCAGATGCCAGAATATTCCCACAGAATGTCCAAATCAAAAGAAGAGAAAGAAGTAAATGTAGGTTTCTGTAGTCAGTTGTATTCATGTGGAGATACGTTGTTTACAGCTTTAAACAGTGTCCAGAAAACTCCAACAAAGGAATGGGCATCTTACAAATGTTTGTAAGTATGTAATTATGACACTTATCTTTTGAATCTATACAAATTAGAAATGTCCCCAGAAAGTCTTGCTACGTGACAATGGAACTGAAAATATAACAGCTACAGCTATCATCTACTCAATGCTAGGTTTCATTTGACAAAAAAATAAGTATTCTTAAATTTTTTTAAAATAAAAGAGCTTCTGAAATGGTGACTTCTGCATGCCCGAGCCTGGCAACACTTCACAGCATCCCTCCTTCGTCTTCTCCGCATGAGCCAGCCTTGGTTGTGTGACTACCGTCCCAGTCCAATCAGACGCAGAATAAAAATGAAAAGGTTGATGATGTCCAAGTAGATGTTCAGGGCAGCAAAAACATATTCTTCAGGGTCCAGGGAATAATGGTGGTGCCCTCCCAGCATGAGCTGCACATCCATCACCAAGTACTTGAAGAAAAGGAAGAATTAGCTACTTAAATTGTACATTTCTATGAAATAAGTGTCCCAAATGATCTGAAAAAAAATATTTTAGCATCAGGAGAAATATTGTCAAAAGTCTGTTTTGGGCTGAATATGTTATTCTTACAGCCCCAGTTGGTCACTGGGTCCCCAAGTTTGCACTCTATAAAAACAGGTGCCTCACCTCAGCTGTGAATCCCTTCTCCCCCCTTTCTCCCTATGTCTCATTCCAGCACCTTTGGAAGGAAAGCTAAGGTGGCAAATTATTCCAATTTGCCCAAGACTCTGATATTCTGGGAAAGTCCTCAGTCCCAGGCAAACTGGTATAAATTCATCATCTTTATAAAAAAGGGGGGTTGGAAAAACCCAATGGCAGAGATTGCAGCTTTGCTCTTAGCCTCCATCTATCACCCTGGAGTCCCAGTTCCTCTGCAGAAGTGGTTTTCTTTCCATTCCCTCCCCAAATCTCTGACTTTAATTTATTGCTTCTTATAAGAGGGGATATAATGACTCTCAATCATTTCACAGACATGCATGGGATGGTTAGGACTGCAGCTTCTCGGGAGAGGTTATGTGCTTGACAGGAACATGGGATGAGCTCGATCCAGTGGTGCCCCGCCCATCCAGGAGGAACAGGGCTCAGGATACCACCCAGGACACAACCAACCCACAGGGAAGCCCCAGCCAGGATTCAGACTCCTGTAAGCATTTGGGAATGAGGCACCCTGCCTCACCCGCATGCCCCCCCAATTCTGAGAGTTAAGCATCCCCCAAAATTCAATTTTCTTTTCCAGCAATTTGTTTGGCATAGGGTAGACCTTTTTGAGTCTACAATCGTTTTTACTCTGCCTGCGAACGGGAAACAGAAACACCAACATACTTTTGCATGGAAACATTGTTTGCAAGCATCAATACAGCAAGCATCAACACAAAAGGTCCAAGAGTGTAGGAATAAAGGAAAATGAATGCAAATAAGTTCCCTTTAAATAGGAAAAGAAATGAGAAAACTGAAATGTATATGCTTAACCTTGTCTCCACCCATACCACCCTAAACACACCCAATCTCATCTGAAATATATATGCTTAACCTTAACTTCCTGGTGTGAATTTTTCTAACATTTGAAGGATATAACACAATTCCAACAAAATAAAAATGAAGCAAAATGTGGATAATTTTTAAGCCTAATGATAATATGTGGGGTTCATTACACCATTCTTGATCCTTCTGAATATGTATCAATACATTCTCGATACGTTTGGAAATTTTGAAAATAAATAATATTAAAAAATAAAATCTCAGCTGGGCACAGTGGCTCATGCCTATAATTTCGGCACTTTGGGAGGTGCCAAGGCAGATAGGATTACTTGAGCTCAGGAGTTTGAGATTAGCCTGGGCAATGTAGCAGGACCTTGTCTTTACTAAAAATAAAAATGCAACCAGCCAGATGTGGTGGCATATGCCTGTAGGCCCAGCTACTGGGGAGGCTGAGCTAGGAGGATTGCTTGAACCCAGGAGATGGGGCTACTGTGAGCCATGATCATGCCACTGCACACCAGCCTGGGTGACAGAGCAAGACCCTGTCGCAAACAAACAAAAACAACAAAACCCTGAAAGATGTGATATGATAAAAGCATGAAATGGAATTCCATGCAGCCCTTGAAAAAAAATTAGTTGGACCCAGGTCTGCTAATATGTGGAGGCCATTATTTTTAAGTGAAAAAGCAAAGGCAGAACATTATACATAGTATAGCTACGTTTGTGTAAGAAGAAATGGTGCCTATGTGTAAAGAAATTCTAAAAGGATTCCAAGAAACTGCTAACAGTTGTTCCTTCTAGGGACAGGGGATAAGAGAGGGACTTTAATTTTCATTTTATAATCTTCTATGTTGTTTGAATTTTAAAATGTGTGCATGTATTACTTTTTAAATAAAACATTCCTTAAAATAGTTTTAAAGATACGACAGCAAGAGATGGGACTAAATGGAAGGAAAGACATTCCTAGATACATTAGCAGTGACCTCTACCAGTTCTCTAGGAGAAGTTTCTATTGTGAAAGAATAGAAACTGGTCTGGAGGGACAAACAAAAAAGAAACCACACCCCTGCTACACTAAGTTTCAAAGCTTATAAATAATTCTTCATTCTTTTCTGAAATATTCACTCTTTCAACAAAAGTGATGTTTTCATGGATTGGGAAGACCATCTGGCTCTCCAGAGGGTAATGGTTTTAAATATGATCCTTTAAAAAGGAGCTGAAGAGTTTCCAGTGAATTCCTAACCCCACGTGACTCCAGGCCTAGCACAAGGGCTTGTCATTGCACATATCACATTCTTTACCAAAGAGATGGAGCAATGGACTTACGAATGAGAAGAGCACAGTTCCGAGTCCAGCATACAATAGATGCAGCCACTGCAAAGTGAAAGGATACGGTTGTATATGAAGAAAAAGATTTGGAATAATGAAAGGGGTCACTTAGGTCACTGCTACTAGATAAGGAACCAATATCAAGAAAGCTGAATCTGTGGGGGAATTCATCTTTTCTTTTTTTAAAACTAAATTTTATTTTCTTTCAATAGCTTTTGGGGAAGAGGCGCTTTTTGGTTACATGGGTAAGTTCCTCAGTGGTGATTACTGAGATTTTGGGGCACTCGTCACCTGAGCAGTGTATACTGTATCCAGTATGTAGCCTTTTTACCCTCACACTCCTCCCACCCTTCCCCTAAGTCCCCAAAGTCCATGATAGCATTCTTAGTCAACAGCACCCACTCAATTCCAATGAGCAAGCAAATAAAAACTAAGCTTACACATGCCAAATAATATTCACCAAGTACGTGCTAAATGTCTCATGCATGGTAGGGCAAGTAGAATGTATTAGACGTATTTCACTTTGTGCCCCATCCACATACATAGCCCTTCTAGAGAATCTGCCCTCTCCCCTCAGTTCAAGGAACAGGAAGCTTTGGGGTCATAGTGACCTTCACACATCCTAGCTAGAGCTGATTGACAAGCAGTGGAAGACCCCAGCTCCAAAAACAGTGAGTCTGATGACTGATCAGGGACTTCTGATATGTCAGTGGGCTTAGACAGATGCACTAGGCCAGCTGGAAATCAATTCTCAGGATAGAGGGAACCAAGTAGCAGAGGCTGTTGTATCTGTAGTGCGTGCTGGCACTATTACTGCTATAAGCAGAGGTGGCTAGTCAACTCAGCCACAGAGGGGAAGGCAGGGTTTTCATTCCTCGGAATCCCAGTTCTTCTTCCCACCTAGGAGGTCTACGAGTTTCTCTGGCTCTTTGCCTCAAGCTAGTCCGAGTGGTATCTGTTCCTTGCAACACAAACAGCCCCAGTCAGAACATGGAACTAGTCTAAATGCCAAACGACTTGGTTCTATTGGGGAAGAGGATTAAAAAATGGAGTACAAAATCTGAAAAAAGGCTACATATTGGATACAGTATATACTGCGCAGGTGATGAGTGCACCAGCATCCTGAAGAGTTCTTCAGGATGAGAGAGCTGGTTCTGAGAGGGGTGGGCAAAGCACTGGCAGCTTTCACCAAGGATAGGTTCTTGGTGAAGACGATCAGAAGCCAGTGATACAGTCTGGGAGACACAGTATTTCCAGACTGAGCTAATAGCAAGAGAACACCTGATCACTGGAATCCAAAGGTTTCAAAATTGCCAAAGTCCAACAAGCAGGTAGACGTAGGGAATGGCTCCAACAAAGCCTTCCATTTAAACACATACGCAAGACTGTAGATGTTCATGACAGAAAATTTAGAATAGGAACTAAGATCTATCTATCTAGTGGGAAAGAGTTTTTTAACTGCACCTAAGTTATACTGTAAAGACTTATGGAACCCACCTAATATTTGCATTATTACTACCAATATCTCTGCTGCCATTAATAAGTGGAGAACTGGGGCCTTTTAAGGCCCATCTTTGTGATGCCTTTGAGTTTATCTCTAAAGTGCAGGTGCCACCTTCCTAGCTCGAAGCCTATGGGGTCATTCATAACACCAAGAACTGTTGATTCTGTGTATGTCTAAAGATCGTGTAACTAGTTCACTTGTCGCCCAAGAAACTCCTTGGTTCAGCATTGGGACCAAGTTGGCCTTAAGGTTTTAGTCAAAAGGGTCCCAGGCCCCAGACCAGCTCTCAGTGGATCTGGCCTCCACACAGGAGCCACTGACTGATTGCCAGCACTAGGCCAGATCACACCTCTCGGTCTCTACAGCCCTTCAGAGTCAGTCCATGGACTGTGCAATGAGGTGGGAAGAGCATGGTCACTCGAGTCGCCCTGACCTGGCCTCAGTGCCACCCTGGCCACTCACTCCCTGTGGGATATAGATGAATTATTAAATTTCTCTGAGTCTGTTTTCTTATCTATAAAATAGATGAGCTATGTACTTTTCAGGAATGTTGTCAGAATTTAATGTGATGTTTTGTGAAAAACACATAGGCCTATGTCCAATATCTAGTAAGAATTCAATGAATACATTAAAGAAAAAAAAAGCTAGAATTGGAAAATAAGGAGCCTCCTCTAGGCTGCTATCAGAAAGGCCCAAACAAGTCTTTCTTTTCCACTCCTGGTACTTCAAACAAGCAGCACCCAAATATAGGAGAAGGAATCTGGCCTGCCCTCATGGGTAGGCTCACCTCAAGACCCTCTTGGAGAAGAACAACTGTCTAGGGTTGTGGCTCAATGTTCACATGCCAGAGTTTCTGCCCATGGTACCTCCTAACAACCACTGTGGGGGCCACTAGGATCCGTCTCACAGACCTTCATTTACCAGGAGGAGAATGGAACTGACCACAAGCACAGCTGCTGTGCTGTGCAACCCACTGCAGTTTGCACTTAGGCCATGCTTCCCCCTTCTCAGTCCTTGCTGGGAGCAGCAGGGCCCTCCCTGGAAGACACGTCACCACCCTGATGATTGACTGTAGCTCTGGGACTTCCTGATGGCCTTGCTGAGCCGCCCTCAGACCATGCCGTGTGCTCCCACTCAGCCTCCCCTCCCTCTCCTTCACTCGAGGCCCAATACGCCTTCATGGTCTGACAGCTCCCCCAGCTGTTGGCTCCCTGCCCCTTTTCTCTTGTGGGCATTTCTCCTACTAAAATCTTTGCACGCTTATCCCCAACTCCACGTCTGCTTCTCAGAGGACCCAGACTAACATAACCAGCACTTCATCTATATGTTTAACAATTCTCTGAGGTTTCCCAGTAAGATCTCACTCACATATGATCGCACGAAGATTAAGATAATTCCATAGATTAAAAGCACGAAGCAGAAAACGAACAGCACTCCATTTAGCAAGGTAAAATCCCACTGAGGAAATATAAACAGCATAAACAACTCAGTTATCATCTATAAGAAATTTTAGGATGTTTAAAGATGCATCTTATACCCCATAGAAGAAACTGGCCCGTTGCTGATAATTTACCCTGATCAATTCCAAGCACCATGAAAATACATTAGCTCCAACCACTAAAAAATGCTACATAAAAAGTGTTATATTGACTGGGAGAAAAAGGTAGAAGTATGGGTGAAATGCCAGTAGCCATGAGTTGATATTTGGAAACTGGGTAATGGGTACCTGGGGGTTCATTATATTATTCTATTTTTGTACTTATATGAAATTTCCCATAATAAAAATACATTGAATGAGTAGGATGCATATTTGAAGGTGTAGGATGATCATAATCATTCATATGTTCAAAAGCATGTACATAGAAAACATTAATGGAGTGAAACATACCAAGGTGTTAACTGGCTATCTTTTTCACATTTATATGCATATATTTTAACAAAAGTATATACTAAACTTTCAGAAGTTACTGCTAATGATTCCTTTGTAATTTGGAAACACATTGATGTGGTTTTTGTTTTTGTCTTTATAAATCAGTGACCCAAATCAGCCTGAGGAGATTAAGGTTTTCTTAAGAAAGAGGATGTTTATCTTCTGGCCTTAAAATTATGCAGACAAACAAGAGCCTTTAATTCAGTATATTTTCTTGCAAGAGTATTTTCCTAATTCTTTCATTTCCCGCATCATTAAGGCAGGATAACTGGGGTGAGGTAAATTCAGGTGGGGAATCCTGTCAGCTCTGACCAAGCCCAAGAGATAACAGGTTCCAAGTCACGCCTGTGGTGGGCTGTCAGCTTCAGAGGCCCACAGAGCACGCAGTCACTCTGGGATCCAGGTGACGTCATCCAGGAACAATGGTAGGCCATATCGTCCACACCCCAACCTCACCCCATTCCCTTCTTGGCCAGTGCCAAGAGCCCACACAAACCACAGCCACATCCCAAATTCCCAAGCCCCACTTTAGAGAGAAAGGCAGGCAGACAGGGAGGCTGAACAGCTGAGCATTTTGTATCCACATGATACTATCACCCAGCCCAAAGGAACTGCTTCAACTGTGAGATCCAATTACAGTTAAACCAAATGGACGTTTAGTTAATTTTCTCCCTGCTAAGTCGACAGTTGGGGTTCATGAAAAAACTCAGACTCATTGTGTTCCTACATTTCCTCTGCATCCCTTGGGTTGTGGTTGGACTGAATTTTGCCATCCCCAACACATAACTTAACAAAGGGAAAAAATGTGGTTGACCATGGTGGGTTCAGCTGCCTTTCAAAGTCATCAACGTCCATGCCATCTTTAAAATACTTTCTGGCCGGGCACAGTGGCTCATGCCTGTAATCCTAGCACTATTGGAGGTGAGGCAGGAGCACTGCTTGAGCCTAGGAGTTCAAGACCAGCCTGGGCAACATAGGGAGGCCTCTACTCTATTAAATTTTTAAAAATTAGCCGGGGGTGGTGGCAAATGCTTGTAGTCCCAGCTACTTGGGAGGCTGAGATGGGAGGATCACTTGAGCCCTGGAGGTAGAGGTTGCAATGAGCCATGTCTGTACCACTGCACTCCAGCCTGGGTGACAGAGCAAGACCCTGTCTCAAAAATAAATAAACAAACAATAAAAAAAAAGACTTTGCAATGTAATATTCACTCCCCTGAATCCAGGTCATAGGTTACCTGTGACTTAAAATACTAATGGGCTTTTAAAAAAGTATTCTGGCAGTTTAGAGGATTTTTTGAGATAGAGTCTCGCTTTGTCACCAGGCTGGAGTGCAGTGGCACGATCTCGGCTTACTGCAACCTCCGCCTCCCGCGTTCAAGTGATTCTCCTGCCTCAGACTCCTGAGTAGCTGGGACTACAGGCGCATGCCACCACACCCAGCTAATTTTTGTATTTTTAGTACAGATGGGGTTTCACCATGTTGGCCAGGATGGTCTCGATCTCTTGACCTTGTGATCTGCCTGCCTCAGCCTCCCAAAGTGCTGGGATTACAGCACCCAGCCATCTTAGAGTATTTTAAATGGCTTAAGAAATCTGTGCATTCAACAGTGGCCCACCTTACTCATTGCAAGGAAGCCTATCTGTGTACAAATCGGCTGGTATCTACAAATGACCAGCTTTAAGATGGCAAATACTGATCTCATCATCAATAAAAGTTGAATCTCTAACTTTTGATGTAGTTTGACTAAATATCTAGTAGATCCTTCTGTCTCTCTGACACTTCTGTTTCCAGCAGGAAAAGGCTAAAATTCAGCATGTGTGTAAGACCTTCCTTATGATGTTTGCCAAACAGCTTGGGAAATGCACTCCCTTCTGTGTAAGTTATTTACCTGACTAAGGCCAGCCCATTCTTTACAAAAGGAAACTGACCAGGACTGAAAGGAGGGGCCACAGGAAATGCTGCATCAGATCTCAAGAACACCCTATGGTTGGACAGAGGCTGAGCCATCTCACAGTTCAACTGAAATAATCTCGAATTATGAGATGTCCTCTGGGACATCTTGGCATTTTGGAGCCTGGTAAACTGTACAACTTTTAAATTTTTAAATTCCCTGTATCAGGCAGCACCCTAGCAAGGAACAGATGACACACTCAAATAGAATGATCTGAGGAGGGTTTGTTTGTAAAGGAACTATCCACAGAAGTGTCTGCAGGCAACCAGAATGGGTAGTGCAGTAAGCTAGGCTGGCAGCCAGCCAAAGAGCTGTTACCAGTCCCAGGCCCAAAAGGGGAAAGGAGAGGGGGCAGTTACAGGAGCCCAGAAGGTGTGTTGAGTTAGCCATCTTGTGATAGGCAGTGAATCTTGCTAAGGTACACCGCTAACCGAAGAGGAACTTGTCACTGGGAGGAAGCCATGGGAATCAGTACCTCTCCCTTCCTGCCTCTGTCTCCAGCTGGGACTCCCCATTGGCCAAAGCCCACGGAAAGCCCAAAGGCAAGAGGGCCCTGAAGGTGAGACCTCCAGGACTGAGAGAGCAGGGGGAGGCATAGGGAAATGTTTCGGGGACAAAGGGACATACCTGGCACACTCCCTTCAATAATACCTACTTTTGTTTGTAGAGCAAACAAAGTGAGTGCTAGCATCACCAGAGTGGTTGCAGCTGTTGCCCATAACACTTCCTCGGCCTTGTAGAAACTAAAACCAGAGACTGTGATTATTGTTCACATACATTCCAAGAAAAGCACACACAAATCAAAGGAAATGTGTATCAAAGACTCACACTGATATGGCTCCTAGCAGCAGACCTTCAAGAGCTGTCTAAAAACAAAATTCACAGTAAATCAGAAGTCTGCTTCCCGAGGCATGGGGGCAAGGCCCAGAATTCAGAAGAGGTGATTTGAGGGGTGTGCTTCTGAGCAGGGTCTAGGGAGCAAGGGGGAATATGCACAGCCTGGTACACACAGCCACAGGGCGACTATGGGGAATAAACAGAATTCAGTATTTCCGTAACATCCTCCCTAGGATGGACAAGAGAAAATTATTAGTAAACATTTCTTTGAACACTGTAGTAACTTTAACATATTCAGTGAATTAAATATGTATTAATTGTGAAAGTAGAAACCAAGGTAAAAAGGTTCATTTGTAGACCATATTGTCATTCATCAAAGGGGGCCACCCACACAGTATCAATGTTTCATCAGGATAGGATATGTGATATCCAAGCTTCATAACACTCTGGGTACAGACACTTTCCACGGCACCTGAGGGACAGCCTTCCAACCTCAGACATGGGATGAGAACCAAGGTCTTCCCAGTGCCCGAGATGGGGCTGGAGGGCAGATACTGGCAGAGTAGAGTGTGGAGCTGCACCTGCAGGTGCCAGCCCCGGGCTTAGGAGGACTGTCATCACGCAAATAGAGCCAGGGGTCCAGGGAAAGGTGAGATAAGGGTAGGGGCTGAGAGCCAGCGGGCAGTCAGGCTGGAGGATGAGACCAAGAAAGGCACTGAGGTTGTGCCCAGGCCCACAGACCTGCCAAGGCGTGAGGACGACAGAGCAGTGGCCACAGGGCTAAAGGCATGCCCAGCCCCAAGGCTGCTCTGCCAGAGGCAAATCCAGAGACTGGGCTGACCCACTGGTCCACAGGCAGAGCCAGGAAAGACTCCTCCAGTCTCCAGGGGTAAAAATGAAGGCACATCCTAGTACGAGGCCTGCGAGAGAAGGCTGTGAACTCCCGCTGGCCAAGGATGGCTGGGAGCAGAGGCTGGGAAAGAAGTGGAGTCCCCAAAGTCCTGGGTCGCCTGTCTGGCATTTCCAAACCCAGTGGTTAATCGCCTGATTCTCTACTTTGTACAACTTAATGAAGTAGGTTGTCTCTATTTCCATTATAGGGAAAACAGTGTATCTAGTCTCCATACAGATGATATTTAATAATGTGCTCGCTTCCAACCTTCCTCTCCAGATGACTTTTTTCCTCTTACACTGGCTCAGTTGCTTCCTATTTCTCCAGCTCCAGCAGCACATAAAGGAGGTATGCATGTGTGTGGTGTGGGTGGTGTATGTGTGAGTTTGTGAGTGAGGTGTGTATGGTGTGTGTGCCTCTGTATCTGTGTAATATGTGTAAGTGTGTGAGCGTGCATGTGTGTGTGGTGTATGTGGTATGAGTAGTGTATGTAAATGTGTGGTGTGTGTGTGTATGTGCTGAGTAGTGTGTGTAAATGTGTGGTGTGTGTGACTGTGTGTGTATGTGCTGAGTGGTGTGTGTAAATGTGTGGGGTGTGTGTGTATGTGCTGAGTGGTGTGTGTAAATGTGTGGTGTGTGTGACTGTGTGTGTATGTGCTATGAGTGGTGTGTGTAAATGTGTGGTGTGTGTGTGACTGTGTGTGTGTGTGTGACTGTATGTGCTATGAGTGGTGTGTGTAAATGTGTGGTGTGTGTGTGATCATGAAGTGACTGTATGTGCTATGAGTGGTGTGTGTAAATGTGTGGTGTGTGTGACTGCATATGTACTATGAGTGGTGTGTGTAAATGTGTGGTGTGTGTGACTGTGTGTGTATGTGGTGTGAGGAGGGTGGGTGGTGTGAATGGTGTGAGGCGGTGTGGGGCGTGTGTGACTGTTGTGTGTGCAAATGTGTGACTGTGTGTTGTGTATGTAGATGTGTGACTGTATGTGTAATTGGGAGCAACTGGGAGGAGACAGGGAGAGAGAAGAGGAAATGGTTTCAAGCTGGAAAACGGATTTCGGTTTTGGAAAGAGCGGAAGGGAGAGTAGGAAGAGGCCGTGGAAGTCACAACTGTCTGAAGACTCCAAGAGCTCAGAACATGGGCTCAAGGGGCCAAAATTCTATGGGACAAAAGCTGTTGTCAGTGAATGTGTTTTCCTTTTTTCCCTCAACTCCTTTTCTGAAATGGGCTTTTTCCTATATATCTTCTAACCCTTGGACATGACGTTAAGTCTGGAAGACATAACAAATGCTTGCCCTGTATAATATCTCTTAAGCCATTACTTGCTTTGAGATAAACAGCAAAACCTCAGAGATGAGAGCTTCCTTGGAGACCAGTAACTTTTGTCTCTTGTAATAAACGTTAAGGCCATTTAAAATGTTTAAATAAAAAACTCAAACATTTCTGGGAAACCAGCACGCCCTCCTGTCGCCCTTCCCCACCGTCTCGGCTCCCAGATTCCCGCCTCCGTCTGGCTTCCAGCCCCGCCCCGTTCTGAGTGTGATCTCTGCTGTCAGCGCAGAAACTGGGACACCCCACTGCTGGCCTGGGCAGTGAGCAGGGTACCCACACCAGCTAACGAAGGCTCCTCCATGCTCTGGCAGGTGAGGAAATGTCCAAACCTGAACAGCGGGCAGCTAGTCTTCTCCAGCCTCAGGAGCCAGCTATTCCTCCCAGCGTGTAAATCCCCAGGGTCGCTACACCGTACTGGTGCTGAGTCTCACCGACGGTCACGTGTTCCCGCTCGCTTTGACCACCAGGGGGCGCAGAACCAAACCTAGGCTCCAGACACGAGCATAGGACTTGACGCATTTTGTCCACGAATCTAACCATTAACTTTTTCTACCCTATTTTTCCTTTCATCAGATTTTTCCATTAATTGATCTTATCTTTATATTATTGATATTTTTGTAAGCCACCTCAAGTCTGATTTGGAATCAGATGGGGAATAAATCAATTGGCAAATAAATCTTCCCATGAAAGAAAGATCAACACTGCTTGGGAAGAAATGCCAACCTTCCCAAAAAAAGAATCGTTTGCTGGCCAGGCGCAGTGGCTCACATCTGTAATCCCAGCACTTTGGGAGGCCAAGGCGGGCGGATAACCTGAGGTCAGGAGTTCGTAGACCAGCCTGGCCAACATGGTGAAATCCCGTCTTTACTAAAAATACAAAAATTAGCCGGGCGTGGTGGCGTGCACCTATAATCCCAGCTACTCGGGAGGCTGAGGCAGGAGAATTGCTTGAACCCGGGAGGCGGAGGTTGCAGTGAGCCGAGATCGTGCCATTGCACTCCAGCCTGGGCGGCAAGGGCGAGAGACTTCTTCTCCAAAAAAAAAAAAAAAAAAAAAGAATTGTTTGCTGACACCCTCCTGAATCATACTGAGACGGTTCTGGGTTTTCATAAGAGGACCCAAACACTCTGGGAGTTACTATCTGTGAGCTTCAGAGAGGCCACACCCCCGGGAGGCAAGAGGTTTGGCCTGACTGTTCCGCCTGACTCCTGAAGGATGCCATGTCACTGGGGAGGAGCCCTGTGACCTCTGGGCAGCTAAGCCCTGAGTTGGAATGCGGGGAAACTGGTGGAAATTCGAGTTCTATTCAGGTTTAGAAAAATCTAGGAGCTTCAGGTACCTGCTGAGAGCTGGCACGATCCTGGGGTTCCTGTGGGCAGCACAGAAAGGAATTGGCTACAAGAAAGGGAGCCACCCAGTGTTCTGTGGTCCAGGGTGGCACCAACGACAGAAAATGGGCAGGTGTGGCGAGGCCTTGTGAGTGGAAGCCACCACAATGAGGCGCTGGGGAACCCGGGACCAGGAACCAGGCCGGATCAGGAGAGCCCTCTCAGCCCCTGACTCTGTGGTGCTGCAAAAGCCCTCGTGAGCTGAGATGCAAGCTGTGGAAATGAGGGAGAACCTCGCTCAGAGATGGGTTCTGCTCCCAGTGGGATTTGAAGAAGAAATAAAATACATTTTACAAGAATAAAGAAATATAAACTTCTTGCACATGACTTTGTGAACTAGACGTGGAAACCACTCTCCATAACAAAATGTACTTGCGCCTGAGAGGGGTCCGGCAATAGCCAGGTTAACTGTTCCTGAAGTGTAACCCAGGCTCGGGAGTGCGCGCCCCCAGGTGGCCTCATCAGAGGCAAATGTGCCGGCACGAAGTCGCCCAGATTCCCAGATTCCCTAATCTGCTCAAAGGGTGTGATACCATCTCATAAATTTACTACTTCATTACAAACAAAATTCCGTCGAGAACGTTTCACACATAATTTCTATCTGTATTATTCCACAGGAAGAGTTTCCATAATAAAATGAAAGAATTTAATAACGCGACAAAAATATATTTCAGAGGTGAACTAGAACGGGTGCTGACAAGGTTTACTTACAAAGAATCCCAGGAGGATGTAATTTGCAGGCACCTGACGGCGGAGATTCCCACAGCAAGCAAGTATAATCAGTACCACAAAAAATGCTGGGCTGGAGGATAATTTAAAACCACGTGTTATTTGTTTTCAGTGACTATATCATAGCATATTATATTATACAGAGATAAATAGATGTAGATATAGATCATAGTATTACTATGATCTTACTTATCTCATAGTATTATAAACAAAAATGTTAATTATTATTTTTGCCTTTTCTTAACTTTTTTTTTTTTTTGGAGACGAAGTCTCGCTCTTGTCCCCGAAGCTGGAGTGCAATGGCGCGATCTCGGCTCACTGCACCTCCACCTCCCGGGTTCAAGCGATTCTCCTGCCTCAGCCTCCCATGTAGCTGGGATTACAGGCACCTGCCGCCAAGCCCGGCTAATGTTTGTATTTTTAGTAGAGACGGGGTTTCACCATGTTGGCCAGGCTGGTCTACAAACTCCAGACCTCAGGTGATCCGCTCACCTTGGCCTCCCAAAGTGCTGTGATTACAGGTGTGAGCCACTGCACTCGGCCTTTCTTAGCTTTTAAAGTTAACTTTTCTCATTTCCATCCACAGATAACTTATGGGCATTAAAATATTTTTATTTTAAAATGATTATAGATTCACAGGAATTTGCAAAGAGATAAAGAGGTCCAATGAAATCTTCACTTAGTTTCCCCCAGTGGTTACAGCTTATGTATTTATAATACAGTACCAAAACCAGTAATTTGACATTGATACAGTATATATATATATATATATAATTCTGTATCATCGAATTATGACACAAATCTATGTGCAGATGCATGTAACCACTATCACAATCAAGACTCAGAACTATCCCTTCGAGAAAACACGCACAAAGACCTCTCTTATACTACCCCAGCCCTGTAGAGTGTGAAAGTCACCGAAGCCAAGATGGAGTCACTTAGGTCACACCCAGAATGGAGCCAGAGGCCATGAAGGAGCGGATCTGTATATCCGAGATAAGAACTAGCCCAAAGGCCTTTTAAAAACCCACAAGAAATTTCTATATGTCCCACATGTCCCTACATGTCCTGCCTACATGTCTATAACAGGGTATATCATAAAAAATTCCTCAAGATCGCAGCATTCCAGCCAAGCTGCTCTGACAAAAACACTTGCCTGGCAATGGCTATCTCCACCAATGAGTTAGCACCAGCTCCCGTGACAAGCCCCTGTGGCCAATGATCTTTGTTTCAAAATAATTTACATAGACTTCTCTTTGCCTTTTAAAGACTTCCTCTTATTCCAGCCTCTCCATCATCCATCATGGCCTGTGTATCCCATCTTGCAATGCCCCTGCCACTTCCAAATACACTCTGCAGGAAGCCTCTCTGTCTGTCATTAATTTAGGCTGACAATAGTAACACCCACACCCACACACTCAACCCTACCTCCTGACAGTCATTAATTTGTTTATTTTTCATCCCTATAATTTTATCGTTTCAAGAATGCTATACTTTGTACCTCATTTTGAATAGTAAAAGAACCTCAGGCAATAGACAGTAGAAAAAACAAATTGTATTAAGTCCAATGATACTTACAAGGTTGCAAAGATGAACCAGGGGTTTTTGAGCACCCAAACTTTTAAAGCCTCCCTGGTTAAAAAAACATTTAACACAGTTTTACACAATAAATATCTCACTAACTAATATGTATTTAAGTAGAAGTAAAGCAATATCATGAGAAGAAAGGAAGAAACCCTAAGTGATGAATAATGATGGATGGGGATGAAACAGTGAAACATTCTTTTTCTTAAAATAGATATATTCATAATAAGTTATAAGTAAAATTTGGATGAATGCAAATGTCCTAATAAAGGTTTTTATTTTTAAAATGCTGAGATTGATATGTGTGCAAAGCAAAAGAAATCAACTTTTCATCTGTTTGTTTCATAAATATAGATTTTCATAGGATATATTTAAGCAGTGACAGATCATAGTCCCTCAAATAAGTTATTTCTTTTGTTTTTAGAGATAGGGTCTTGCTCTGTTGCCCAGGCTGGAGTGCAGTGGCATGATCGTGGCTCACTGCAGCCTTGAACTCATGGTCAAGTGTTCCTCTTGTCTCAGCCTCCTGAATAGCTGGGACTACAGGCATGTGCCACCACATCTGGCTAATTTTTATTTTTATTTTTGTAGAGATGGGGTTCTCACTATGTTGCCCAGGTTGGTCTTAAACTCCTGGCCTCAAGCAATCCTCCCACCTCAGCCTCCCAAAGCGCTGGGATTACAGGTGTGAATCACTGCACCCAGCCCCCTCAAATAATTTCTGAATTTAACACTGTTCCAGCCTCCAAGGTCTCCATAATCTCACCTTTCTTTTTCCTTGAGAGAGAGTCTCACTCTGTTGCCCAGGCTGGAGTGCAGTGGCTCAATCTTAGCTCATTACAACCTCCACCTCCTAAGTTCAAGCTATTCTCCTGACTCAGCCTCCTGAGTAGCTGGGGTTACAGGCACCCACCACCATGCCTGGCTAATTTTTGTATTTTTAGTAAAGACAGGGTTTTGCCATTTTGGCCAGTCTGGTCTTGAACTTCTGACCTCAAGTGATCCACCAACCTCAGACTCCCAAATTGCTGGGATTACAGACATGAACCCCCACGTCCGGCTCACCTTTTCTTCTCTATCCAGTTTTAACTGTGGAAACAGCTCAGGAGAAAATAAAAAAGAAAGCAGTGTCCAAAATAAGAGTTTAAAAAAAGCTTTTTTGCTTCGGTTAGGAAGTGAAAGTAAAATTCTAGAAATCTACTACCACCTTGGTCTAGGAGTTGCCTCAGAAAAACAAAAAGAGACAAACTGTTTTTAAATGATCAAAATTAAATTAAGCTGATTCAATAAGAATTAATGTGAACAACCTAACACTTAATTCTACATCAGTCATAAAGACTTACCAGAAAATAAACACACTGGTAATTACCGCAGTGAGCAACAGCTGAGCTGACAGGAGGAGGAACACTTTGATAATGAAAGCTGAGGAGACAGAAACATTATTTTTATGACAAAATAGTCAAAAGTAACTACATAAATGTAATGACTTATTTTTGACATTTAATGAAAGGATTATTATTATTTTCTTTTTTTTTTTTTTTTTTTTTTTGCTTTTTTTTTTTTTAGGATGAGAAAGGCAGTGCTAGTTTACAGTCAGCAAATGGAATAACAACAACAATGCAGCTCTATAGAACTTTTAGAGCACACTTAATCCAGATGGTTGGAGAGAGGTGTTTTATTGGAGATCTGATGGTTTTATCCATGGGAGCTCCAGAATTTTCTCTCTTTTCTTTCTTTCTTTCTTTTTTATTTGGAACAGAGTTTCACTGTGTTGCCCAGGCCAGAGTGGAGTGGCGCGATTTCAGCTCACTGCAACCTCCACCTCCCGGGTTCAAGCGATTCTCTTGCCTCAGCCTCCTGAATAGCTAAGATCACCACCACTCCCAGCTAATTTGTGTGTGTGTGTGTGTGTGTGTGTGTATTTTCTAGGTAGAGATGGGGTTTCGCCATGTTGCTCAGGCTGGTCTCAAACTCCTGATCTCAGGTGATCTACCTGCCTCAACCTCCCAAAATGCTGGGATTACAGGCATGAGACATCACGCCTGGCCAAAGTTCAGATTTTTCAAGACGAACTCAGGAATTTAATTCCTTGTCATGCACACCCCATCCTCCTTAGGATCAAACATGATTTGAAAGCCTCACCGTGTCACAGGCCCATCATTAGGGATCCAGCGAAACTACCTCCCTGCACCGGACAGCAGCAGCGCTTCAGGACTGTGGGGAGAGGGGATGTCTCCTTGGAGATGGATTTGGGCTGCAGAGAGTTTGTGGGGCTTTTCTGCCACTTTCCTCTCCAGCCTACCTGCCTGTAGTAACTCTCTTCTCTTCTGCTTCCTGATGCATAAATAGATAACTTGGTGAACTGTACATGAGGCCAAAGAGTTCCAAAGGAATGACAGGCCAACATACAAGGCACAGCACATGGGCACCTCTTTCTGCTTACATCCTGGGCCCTCTGAATATGGCACTGGCAATGGCAATTTGCCTTTTGTGTGGCTTTATCCCAATTTCAAAGGAAAAAAAAGAAGTAATGCTGCTTAAAATTAACTTATAGGATTGTCAACTATCCTTTTGCTGGGCAGTTTCTATGCATAGGAAGTATGACAACAAAGCAGTGGATCTAAGCTATCTTAATAAAAATAGCAGAGCATATATTCCCAAGTGCATGCTGCCTACATTAAAATATTCATTTAGCTCACATTAATTTGTCATCTGCTATGTAGCAGGGACTGTGGGGGAATATATTAAATGTGGCCCAGGCTCACAAGAATAGACATAGAGATCAATGGAATCGAGGTGACAGTCCAGAAACAAACCTTTCTATTTATGACCAATCGATTTTTAACAAATATGCCAGGAAAATTCAATGAAGAAAGAATAATTATTTTGACAAATGGTGCTGGGAAGCTGGATATACACCTACAAAAGGATGAATTTGGATCCCCAACTAACACCAACCGCAAGCCATAACGTGGAGTCATAATGGCCATAGCAGCTCACCTACCATCTCACTGTAAATGAAAGAGAGCTCCCAATTCAAGACCAATATAAGAGTTGACCAACTGAGTCAACCCACAGAATTATGAGAGATAATAAAATGGTTGTTGCTTTCTTTAAGTGAACAAAGGATTTGAACAGACATTTCTCCAAAGAAGATATATGAATGACCAATAAGTATAAGAGAAAATTTGCTAATGAAATGTAAGTCAAAAGTACAATGAGATAACACCTCACGGACACTAGAATGGCTATAACCAAAAAGACAGACAATAACAAGTGTTGACAAGGATGCAGAGAAACAGGAGCCCTCATACATTGCTGCTTGGAATGTAAAATGGTGCAGCCACTTTGGAAAAGTTTGGCAGTTCATCAAAATGTGAAACAGAGTTATCCTACGGTTCAGCAATTCCTGGGTATCCACCCAAGAGAAATGAAAACATATGTCTACACAAAAACTTGAATATGAATGTTGACTGCAGCATTATTCAAAATAACCCAAAGGTGGAAACAATCTAATTGTCTGTCAACTGATAAATGTATAAACAAAGGTTTTCTATTCAGGCAATGGAATTGTATATGGCCCATTCATAAAAGGAATGAAATACTGACACATGCTACAACATGGGAGAACCTCGAAAACATTAAGTGAAAGGAAATCACAAAAGACCACATGTTGTATGATTCCATTTACATGAAATGTTCAAAATGGATTCATAGAGAGGTCTGAAAGTAGATTAGTAGTGGCAGGGGTTTGAGAGAGGGAGGATGGGAGTAACTGCCAATGGGTATGGGTTTCTTTCCTTTTTTTTTTTTCCCTTTGGTAAAGATGGTGTTTCACCATGCTTCCCAGGTTGGTCTCATGCTTCCTGATCTCAAGTGATCTACCTACCTCGGCCTCCCAAAGTTCTGGGATTATAGGCATGAGCCACTGCACCTAGTCTGGATATGGGTTTCTGTTTGAGGTGACGAAAATGTTCTAAAATTGATCATGTTGATGATTATCAACTCTAAATATACAAAACACCAGTGAATTGTACACTGAAAAGGGATTTTTATGATTTGCAAATTAGATCTCCATAATGCTGCTTTAAAAAATGACAAACCCCATAACTCAATCCATTACCCTGGTATACTTTTCCTTTTCTCCACAGCACTTATGTCTTTTCATATACTATATAATTTTTTTTAATTGGACAAAGGCCAGCCTCTACCCTCCAGGAGAGGCAGATATAAATAACTGACTCTTATACTGGCAAGGAGGCTCTACATATTTTTCAATTAGACCTGAAAGACTAATTCGATTGGACTCCTTAAGCCTCATTTTCTCACCTGTAAAATGGCAACACAACTTCTGTGTTTGTAGGGTTGTTGTAAGGACGAAATGCAATAACATTGCCCTTGCACAACACCCTGTGTCAGCCTGGCATTGATCGCAGAGACAGCCAGTGGGCTCAGCTGAACAACTCCAGATAGAGGTGGCCATGTGATACAGGTGGGTCAATGATGTGGCATTCAAAACTCTGGGTGTGGTTTCTAGAAATTCCTCTGAAAAGAAGACTGGCTTGGTCAACTCTCAGGATACCTGCAGCCCTCTCTTGGCTCTACTTTGCCTTTGGCTGTTTGCCTTTTCCTTCTCCTACCTCAAAGGCTAGAGCTCCAAAAGGCAGCTTTCCAGCCACAGGAAAGGAGTGGTGAGGGCCACAGGGAGACCAACAGGATTCAAAGCTCGCAGTCCACCTGCAAGTTGTCCAGGCCCTCAGAAGGCCTAAGAGTGGCAGAGTGGAAGCTTTAAAACTTAAGCCAATATTATGGTATCACCTTGTATACAAGTAAAAACATTTTATGATCCATGACTAATTCATATTTCCTTTAAAAAAAAGTTATTCACCATATGTTTCTTATGAGTTTCTGAATGCCCTGGACAACTTGGAAGCAGTCAATTATAGCAGTCCTACATCATGTTTTATGAGAAAGCATGACTCAGAAAAACTAAAAACAAAATTATATCTGACAATCTACACTGTGGATACATTTTAAGAGAACATGTGCTCTTCTCTTCTAAAAAGGTAATTTCTTTATTCTCACCTCTGCGGACAGATGCATCTGAGAAAGGATTGCCTAAAGTTGCATTGCTATCACCTGGGGTGATGTCATCTGAAATTTCTACCACATAGGTATTCAACTGCTCGGTGACCTTTGGCCGTGGCTTCTCCCGAGTTTCTTGTGGCCCAGCTGAAGATGAAGGTGTGTAGCGCTCACCAGATTCGGACTGGATGCTTTTATCTGCTGCTTTCCGAATCAGATGTTGATGATCTCCAGAACCAAAGTCTATTGGTTCGCTGACCTCCAAGTCCAATTTCCTAGAGGGGGAGAATTGTTTTTCAAGTCCTTATGATCACACCTCTACAATCTTAGCATCCTCATAGTCGTTAGGCGATTTCTTCTTAATTTTAACTGCCTTGGCTCAATACTTACCAAGTTGGTGCTCAGTAAATATTTGTTAAATTAATGATAACATTTAAGATGAAACCCATAGAGTAAAATAATTTGATTGTATTATGAAATTAATTTTTTGTTTTTTTTTTTTGAGACGGAGTCTCGCTCTGTCGCCCAGACTGGAGTGCAGTGGCGCAATCTCGGCTCACTGCAAGCTCTGCCTCCCGGGTTCACCCCATTCTCCTGCCTCAGCCTCCCGAGTAGCTGGGACTACAGGCGCCCGCCACCGCGCCCGGCTAATTTTTTCTATTTTTTTTAGTAGAGACGGGGTTTCACCATGGTCTCGATCTCCTGACCTTGTGATCCGCCCGCCTCGGCCTCCCAAAGTGCTGGGATTACAGGTGTGAGCCACTGTGCCCAGCCTGAAATTAATTTTTAAATAAAATTTATTCAGCAAAAACTTAATGAGTGCCAAGCATAAAGATGCCCTTGCTGTCTCTGCCCTCAAAGAGCTTACATTTTGGAAGACAATATAATCAAGCAATCATATAAAAGGCAATGCAGGCCAGGCATGGTGGCTCACGCCTGTAATCCCAAAACTTTGGGAGGACGAGGCAGGTGGATCGCCTGAGGTTGGGAGTTCAGACCAGCCTGGTCAACATGGTGAAACCTGTCTCTAATAAAAATACAAAAATTAGCCAGGCGTGGTGGCAGGCACCTGTAATCCCAGCTACTAGGGAAGCTGAGGCAGGAGAATCGCTTGAACCCGGGAGGCAGAGCTTGCAGTGAGCCGAGATTGCGCCACTGCACTCCAGCCTGGGCAACAAAGTGAGACTCTGTCTCAAAAAAAAAAGAAAAGAGGGTAATATGAGCAGACCAGGAACATTGGAGGAAGTCTTGAGAGCCCTGAAGGAAATCTGGAGGAACTTGCAGGGAGTAGAAGAGGTTGTCAAAAGCTTCCAGAGAAACTGAAGGTTAAGCCATGGCTGGAAGTGAGTAGGGATTAGTCAAGTGAAGAGGTGGGGAGAGGTTTTCCAGACAAGGAACCAGCCTGGACCAGGATTAGAGAAAGCAGGGATGGCAAGTTCCAGAAACGTACCTGGAGCAGGGAGTTTGAAGGGGATAGTGGAATGAGGTTACATGGAGAAGTAGTGGGCATGCCTCTAAGAGGCTGGCAAGCCGAGTTAAGGAGTCTGGACTTCATCCTGAAAGCCATGGGTATGATTTTTCAGAATAGGAGTCCCCCAGTGATATCCACGTCCTAATTTTTGGAACCCTTGTCTATGTTACCTTGCATGTCAAAAGGAACGTTGCAGATGTGATTAAGGACTTTGGGATGGGGAGATGATCCTAGATTATCTGGGTTGGTCCAATCAAATCACAAGGATTTTTATGATCATAGGTATAACAAGGCAGCAGGAGGAGCAGAGTCAGAGAAGGAGATGTGACAACAGAAGCAGAGGTCAGAGCGATACAATTGTTATCTTTGAAGATGGAAGAAGGGGGCCATGAGCCAAGGAACGCAGGTGGCCTCTAGAAGCTGGAAAAGGCAAAGAAATGGCTTTTCCCCTACAGCCTCCAGGAAGGAACCAGCCCTGCCAGAACCTGGATTTTAGCCTAGTGAGATTGGTTTTAGGCTTATGACCACCAGAACTGTAAGATAATAAATGTGTGTTGTTTTAAGTCATTCGGTTTGTGGCAATCTGTAACAGCAGGAACAGGAAACTAATACAATGGGGAATCAAGGAAGATTTCTCAGCAGGGACCCATGGAGATCTCCTAGAAAGAAAGGTTACTCTAGGTAGTGTGGAGAATGGGCCACACTAAGCCAAAGTGAGGCAGAGACCAGAAATCCAGATATGAGATGGCAGTGGGCTTTGCCACAGTGCCTTCCAGCCTGAACACAGTTCTTAAGAAACTACTACTAGGTCGGGCACGGTGGCTCACACCTGTAATTCCAACATTCTGAGAGGCCAAGGTGGGTGAATCACGAGGTCAGGAGTTCGAGACCAGCCTGGCCAACACAGTGAAACCCCATCTCTACTAAAAATACAAAAATTAGCTAGGCGTGATGGTGCACACCTGTAGTCCCAGCTACTCCGGCGGCTGAGGCAGAAGAATCACTTGAACCCGGAAGGCGGAGGTTGCAGTGAGCTGAGATCGCACCACTGCACTCCAGCCTGGGTGACACAGTGAAAATCTGTCTCAAAAAAAAAAGAAAGCCGCTACTAAATGGACAAAAAACTGCAAAGCAAAAGGCCCCTATTAACCTTCTGGGTAACATGAAGTCTCAGGCAAGCCCCTGCTGCTGCGTTCTGTTGCACAGAGTCACGAAGGGGCTTGAGAAGCACACTGCTGAGACAGCAAAGCCTCGGGCAAGCTGAAGGCCAAGCGGGAAAGGCATAAATAGAAGGTCTGAACAAAATGCCAGGTCTTGGAGAAGCAGATGCAGTGTGGGAAAGATGTCCTTTCTCCTCAAATTAATCTCCAAATTTTACAAAATTCATTGGGATTTTTTTTTTTTTCAGTACTTGAAAATGTAAGTCCAAAGTTTATCAGAAAGAGTAAAGGTGTGAGAATAATCAAGAAAAAAATTAGAAGGAGGAGGTTTATGGTGGAAGGGATGATTTACTTTTATCAGAAATCAAAAGATTATAGAGCTTTTTAATTAAAACTGTGGTAATAGTGTGCCAATAGATAAACAGATCAATGAGTTGGAAGAGATTCAAGAAACAGACTGATGTACAAAGGATAATTTAATATTTGATAAAGGTGAAATTTCAAATTATCGTCCCATGGTGTGGGAAAAATTAGCTATGTACTTGGAAAACAAAATAGAATTTAATAGCTATTTCACATCTTATACAAACATGTATGCCAGATGAACTAAAGATATTATCATGAGTAATAATAGCCATAGATATTCTACAAGAAAATACAGGAATATTTGTGTAAGTCTTTGCAAGAATGACACCATATAAGAACTGCTTTGGCCGGGCCCAGTGGCTCATGCTTGTAAATCTCAGTACTTTGGGAGGCCAAGGCAGGCGGATCACCTGAAGTCAGGAGTGGGAGACCAGCCTGGCCAACATGGCAAAACCCCATCTCTACTAAAAACACAAAAATTAGCCGGGGCATGGTTATGGGTGCCTGTAATCCCAGCTACTTGGGAGGCTGAGGCAGGAGAATCGCTTGAACCCAGGAGGCAGAGGTTGCAGTGAGCCGAGATTGCATCATTGCACTCCAGCCTGGGCAACAAGAGCAAAACTCTGTCTCAAAAAAACAAAACAAAACAAAACAAAAACTGCTTGGCAGATTTGGGGTACGGGAGCACTTTAGATACCACTACAAATATTAAACACAATTTTTTTTTTTTTTGAGACAGAGTCTCACTCTGTCGCCCAGGCTGGAGTGCAGTGACGCGATCTCAGTTCACTGCAAGCTCCGCCTCCCAGGTTCATGCCATTCTCCTGCCTCAGCCTCCCAAATAGCTGGGACTACAGGCGCCTGCCACCATGCCCAGCTAATTTTTTTTTTCGTATTTTTAGTAGAGACGGGGTTTCACCGTGTTAGCCAAGATAGTCTCAATCTCCTGACCTCGTGATCCTCCCACCTTGGCCTCCCAAAGCGCTGGGATTACAGGCGTGAGCCACTGCGCCTGGCCAAAATGCTAAATTTTAAGTATAATATTTGTGATATTTACTATCTGTAAGAACTTTAACAAAGAAAAATGGGCAACCCAGTAAGAAGATGAGAAAAGCCCAGGCACAATGACTTACAACTGTAATCTCAATGTTTTTGGAGACCAAGGTGGGAGGATTGATTGCTTGAGTCCAGGAGTCTGAGACCAGCCTGGGCAACATAGTGAGATCCCATTTCTAAAAAAAAAAAAAAAAAAAAAATAGCCAGGCATGGTGACATGTGCTTGTAGTCCCAGCTACTCAGATGGCTGAAATGGGAGGATTTCTGTAGCCCAAAAGTTCAAGGCTGCAGTGAGCTAGATTGTGCCACTACACTCCAGCCTGGCCAACAGAGCAAGATCTTGTCTCTAAAACAAAGAGAGAGACAGAAAAGAACATCAATAGGCAATTCATATGGTCAATAAACTTAGGAGATGATACCTCACAAATAACCAAAGAACTGCAAGTAAAAGCCAAAAAGACTGGCAAAGATGAAAAAGGTAAGTCTGAGAATTGCAAGGCTGTGAAGAGATAGGTAATAGAGAATCCAGGGCCACAGAATGACCTGCATGGACCCTACACATGTTTGTGTTCATGGGCCCCTTCCTCCAAAAAAATACTAAAAATTATATGTTATGAGTGCATTGGTACAAAGATGAATATAATCCTTTCTGGAGTCATTATCTATTACATATTCATTATTACATTCACTTTTTTCTCCTGCTTTAAAAAATTAAAATGTGTTTATGGCCCCTAAAACTATCATGAGTCCTAAGCACTGTGCCCACTTGCCTAATATCAGTCCTGGGACACCCTCATGGGGGCATAAACTTTTGCCGGGTCGGTGGCAATTTAGCAGCGTCTATCAGAATTCAAAATGTGTCTTACTTTAGCCCCAACAGTTACATTTTTAGAAATGTATCCCACAAACCTATCCATACAAATAGACAAAGATACATGCATAAGGAAGTTCATTACACCGTTCATTGTTTGTAACTACAAAAAAATTTTAAACAGTTTAAATATCCATCAGCAGGGGAATGGTTAAATTAACTTTGGCACAGGAAAAGGCAGATATATATGGATTGATGTGGAGAGTTCACTTTTACACACTTTTAAATTTAAAAACTAACATTAGAAAATAACATTGAGCAAGATCACATTAATGTTGTACCTACATCCACACACACACACACACACACACACACACACACACACTTCCCGAGACTGGAAAGATATACTATAAACCGTTCATATGATCATCTCTGACCCAGCAGAGTCGGGAAACACACTCTGAATAGTATGAATTTTTTACAATGAGCATCTATTACTTATATAATAACAGAAAAAGATATTTACATCCTGAAGAGAAAAGGAAATATTTCTCTTTTTGATAAAGTTTGGACTCCTCCGAGGAAAGCAGTCTTCACGCAGAGCTGAGAGGCACTACAGGATGCTCAGATAACCAAGTTGATTTCCTCTCCAGTGTCTTGCAAATCAGAAGCGGGAGAGGCAGCAAGATTTTCAAAGCACTCAAAAACAAGAACAAAGCCACAGGCAACTGAGTTTTCCTCATGAAACTATATTTGGCTGGTGCCTGAATCACAAAATGAAGCTTTCACTTGGCCCTCAAGTAGCTCTCCCAGGTCCTGAGCTAGTGGTAGGTCATCCAAAGCCTGGGCAGGCGCTGGGACTGAGAGGTAATGTTCTGAGCGACAGTTAGGAGAGTGGCAGTTGGAGCATGGGTGGACCTAGGTGGAGGGGCCCTAAGTCAAGCGCTATCTGCCAAGCCTCATTCTGGTCAAAGAGCCACGCCAACGCACTCCTTATTGTTTTAGGCAGAACTGCACCCAAATCTCCAAACCGATTCCACTTCAGAGAACAAGAGGCTCCTGGAGGCTGTGGTTTGTCTCAACCATGTTATCACTTTCTCCTAAGCAGGAGGAAGATGTTTATGAAACTCCACCAGAGGAGCCCACCAGAGATCCTGCACAGTTATTATGTTGGCGCAAAAGTAACTGTGGTTTTGGCCATTAAAAGTAATGGCGAGGCCAGGCACGGTGGCTCACGCCTGTAATCCCAGCACTTTGGGAGGCCGAGGCGGGTGGATCACCTGAAGTCAGGAGCTGAAGACCAGCCTGGCCAAGATGGTGAAACCCCATCTCTACTAAAAATAAAAAAATTAGCCGGGCGTGGTGGAGGGTGCCTGTAATCCTAGCTACTCGGGAGGCTGAGGCAGAGAATTGCTTGAAACCGGGAGGCAGAGGTTGTAGTGAGCCGAGATTGTGCCACTGCACTCCAGCCTGGGTGACAGAGCGAGACTCCGTCTCAAAAAAGAAAAAAAAGTTAATGACAAGAGCTGCAATTACTTTTGCATTAACCTGATATTTCAAATAAGTAAGACTTGTGTGTGATAAAGTGTGCATTGTTTTTTCTGGTGAATGATGATGATGTTGGTACAGGGAGATGGCTACCCATGGGCTGCAGGACAGTGAGGAGTCATGGAGGGGCCCAATTCAGGCAGTGTGGTGGGAGAAGTCAGACGACCAGGCAGGGACAGCTGGGATGAGCTCCTCCCCCTGGGATTTCTAGGCAGGGAGGGGAGTAGTAGCAGAAACGTGCTGAATAGAGGCTGCTGCTGAGAAAAGCCTAACTGAATACATTAACCATTCATTAAACTGCTAATTAGTGCATGTCTACTGTGCGCAAGAAGCAGAGAAGTGGAAGAAACAAGAAAAGGACATACTTCCTGTCTTCAGGATGCTTATAGTCAGTTGAAGGAGATACAAAAGTGAATGCCTAAGGGAGACAGAAGAGGAATAGAAAGGAACAGCTACATAATGGCATAATGGATTCTGGGCTTCATACCTAGGTGGTGGGTTGATCTGTGCAGCAAACCACTGTGGCATACATTTACCTATATAACAAACCTGCACATCCTGCACATGTACCCTGGAACTTAAAAGTTGAAGAAAAAATAAAAATGAGAGAAATAAAAGAAATAAACAGCTATGTAAAGTCAGGGAGTTGGGAAAGGAGATGTAACTTCCGTCACGGGTCTGAGCCGATTCTTGAGAGATGGTTAGGGTTGGGTTGAAGAGTTGGAAGGAGGCACACCCTGAGCCAAGGCACAAAGGTGAGAACTGTGGGGGCACACACTCCACACAGCAAGTAGTGCCATTAGGTTATAACACAGAAGGTGTGCCTGCAGTAGAAGATACAAGTGTCATGTGCACCTCCTGAAATTAAAAAAACAAAAGGTTTCTAGGAATATCTGCTCTGGTTCTCCTCCCTCAAACCTTCTAGCAGTTTCACAAGTCCCTCTCATTTTCTCCCTGTCCAGTCCTCAGTATCTCTGTCTAGTTTGCTGATGTAAATAGGGGATTTGAGTTAATTTTTTCCAAAATGTAATTAACATGATTTACATGATTACATGTGAGGGGTACAACTAATGACTTGACCAAGATCCAGTCAAAAGAAATGCTTCCTCCTTCTCCTTCTTTCTTATCAGCCTCATAGTTGACATTAACAAGGCACTTACTAGATGTAAAAGTTGTTGATAACTTCACATGAACTACTTTATGTAATCCTCACATCAACCCTATGGGGTATGTTCTCTTGCTCTCCTCATTTAACAGTTACATAAATAGAGGCTCAGTGGCAGTGTTCCCCCAACCCCAGAGATATCCAGGAGAAGGGTGCACAGTCAAGGAATTCCACATCTGCCCATACTCATCAAGACACAAAATGTGGTGGACGTGATCTCTTTGGAAACACAGAAACATAGAAAATATGCATGCATATTGTATGTGTCTGCTTTTTTTTTTTTTAACTCTTAAGAGTTTTAATTAATGAACCATGTAACATTTAAATCATGCAAAATAGACTGCATGCTGGCACTGACAATCCCCTGGGGAATTCAGCATTCTTTTTCCCTTACTGTGAAATTTAAGGCCACAGGAGGTATTTATTTCTGTGTCCACAGCTTATACCCACACCACCATGACCACCACCAGAATTTTCTCAGCCATTCCATAGGTACCAAATTGTCTCCAAGAGCTCTGGGTCCAGGCTAGTATCTCTCATTGCATCCTATGGTCTAACTGTGTCCCCCAAATTTTCATGTGTTGAAACTAAATTACCAATGTGATAGTATTAAGAGGTAGAGCCTTTGGGAGTGGAACCCCCATGAACGGGATTAACAACCTTATAAAAAGGCTGGAGGAACTAGCAATTGTCCCTTTTTGCATTTCTGCCCTTCTACCATGTGAAGACACCTAGACGGTGCCATCTATGAAGAATGGGCTCTCTCTAGACACTAGACCTGCTAACATCTTGATCTTGGACTTCCCATCCTCCAGGACTGTAAGAAATAAATTTCTGCCTGGGGACAGTGGCTCACACCTGTAATCCCAATACTTTGAGAGGTCGATGTGGGCGGATCACCTGAGGTCAGGAGTTTGAGACCAGCCTGGCCAACATGGTGAAACCCCATCTCTACTAAAAATACAAAAATTAGCCAGGTGTGGTGGCAGGTGCCTGTAATCCCAGCTACTCGGGAGGCTGAGGCAGGAGAATCCCTTGCATCCAGGAGGCAGAGGTTGCAGTGAGCCAAGATCATGCCACTGTACTCCAGCGTGGGCAACAAGAGTGAAACTCAGAAAGAAAGAAAGAAAAGAAAGGAAGGGAAGGGAAGGGGAGGTGACGGGAGGGGAAGGGAAGGGAAGGGAAGGGAGAGGAAGGGAAGGGAAGCAAGGGGAAGGGAAGGGAAGGGAAGGGGAGGGAAGGGGAGGAAAGGGAAAGGAAGGGAAAGAAAGGAAGGAATTTCTGTTCTTTATAAATTACCCATTCTCAGGTATTTTGTTACAGCAACACAAATGGACTAAGATATTGTGTCAGTCTGTGAACTCTCTCCTGGCCAGGCCTACTGTGGCTCCTGTTCTTCCTGAGGTACCAGCTGAGGGGGCAGGGTGTTGAGTTACAGCCTTCACTACAGTGCCTTCTTAAGTTCTTTTCTCCTACCTATTTCCCTCCCTTCCCCATTTGACCCCCCAGCCACCTTCTTCTCTACTTAGTAGTCCTCATTTGTCCTCACATACACTACTGTTATGCTATGTTCTAATACATACGCACAATAATTTTGTCATACTGTAGCTACAGCTGCTTGGAGAATCCCCATTACTTGAATCAGAACTATGGCCCAAGCACAGTAACTGATGAAATCTTCACACAGTCCTAAGGTGGACAATATCATCCTCACTTTCCAGATGAACTGAGCTTCAGAGACAAGGTCCAGTCGCCAGCCCTCAAACCAGGTACTGTCAACTATTCACTACTGTCTCTGGCTGTGAGAGAGTTTTAGGGTCAACAAACTGCCCTTATTTTCTTCTTTTCCATTTGATACTTTCTCTTCTTGTTTATGTTTTTAAATAAAAGTAATGCATATATATGGTGAAAAAATGTCAAACAACACAAAATCAAAACTCCCTTATCACCCCTGTTAACATCAATTGTCAATAATTCTTAGTTTTAGTTCTAACAACTTAAAAAATGCAACACACACACACACACGTTTCTAATTTACACAAAGTGATCTTATTCTGTGCTGTTTTCTAAATTGCTTTCTTTCCCTCTTAATATCTGAGATTTTTTTTCTTATCAGCACTATATGAAAACCTCAAATAGTTTCCTATCACACTGAAAATAAAATCCAAAGTTCTCACTTTGGCTATCACAGTCTGATGCTAAAACTCAACAAAGATATTACAAGAAAGAAAAATTGTAAGTCTGTGTCACTTATGAACATAGATGTAAAAATCTTAAACAAAATAGTAGTAAACCAAACCTAGCAATATGTAAAAGGGATAAAATACATCACAACCAAGTTGGGTTTATTCCAGGAATTGCAATGTTAATTTAACATTCAGAAATCTGTCTGTGTAATCCACACATTAATAAACGGGAAAAAAAATGATCATCTTGTAGAGAAAGCCATTTGATAAAATTAAACACATTCATGATAAAAACAGGAATAGAAAAGAAGTTCCCTAACTCATAAAGGGAATCTACAAAATCTACGGTGTTAGAAGTCAGGACAGTGGTTGATTCTCCATAAAGGACAAGAGGGGGACTTCTGGTAGTAATGGTTATTTCTTGATTTGGTTGCCTGGGTGTCATTGCTTTGTGATAATTAAACTATGCACATATGAGGTGTACACTTTAGAGTATGTGTATCATACTTAATTTTAAAAGGTTGTAAAAAAAATGAGGCCGCTGCTGTGGCCGCTTCTGCAAAGTCTAAGCACTGGTCTGTATGCCGCAGCCATGTCCTACTGCCAGCAGGAAGGGAAGGATGGAATCATATTTGTGACCAAAGATGACCATAAAACTCCAAGCAATGTAGAGCTGGTGGCTGATGACCCCAACGATCCATACTCAGTATGGACTGATGCTGCCAAATGAAGACATTAACTGGAACTGCCCATGCCTTGGGGGCATGGCCAGTGGTCCCTGTGGGGAACAGTTCAAGTTGGCCTTTTTCTGCTTCCACTATAGTGCAGGGGATCTCAAGGGGAAAGACTGTGTAGAACAATTCTGGGTCATGCAGGAATGCATGTAGAAATACCTGCATCTGTATCCCCAAGAGGATGAGGAGGAGGAAGAGGAGAAGTCAGCAGAACACATAGAAGAAACTGCTCCCACTGAGGCCACTGCAACCAAAGAAGAGGTGGAGATAAGTTAATGAAGGCCACAAGGCACTGGGCTCCAGTCCTTCCACTACAGAGTGATATAGGCCTTTTGCACAGTGCCTTTCAGTCACCTCCTATTGGGAGAACCCACCCCCAATATTTGAACATAGGTTCTTTCTATTTTCCATAAATGTTGGCTGGCTGAGAAATAAAGAGTACAAAGAGACGAATTTCACAGCTGTGCCACCGGGGGTGACATCACATATCCATAGGACCATGATGCCCTCCTGAGCCTCAAATCAGCAAGTTTTTATTAAGGGTTTTAAAAAGGGGACGGGGTGTAAGAACAGGGAGTAAGTACAAAGATCACATGCTTCAAAGGGCAAAAAGCAGAACTACTAATAAGGGTCTAACAGAGATCACAAGGCAAAGGGCAAAAGCAGAACTACTGATAAGGGTCTATGTTCAGTGGTGCACGTATTATCTTGATAAACATCTTAAATAACAGAAAACAGGGTTTGAGAGCAGAGGACCAGTCTGACCATAAATTTACCAGGGCAGAGTTTTTCCCACCCTAGTAAGCCTGAAGGTACCACAGAAGACCACGGCATATCTCAGTCCTCATCTCAACTGTATAAGACAGCCACTCCCAGAGCAGCCGTTTACAGACCTCCCCCCAGGAATGCATTCCTTTCCCAGGGTATTAATATTAATATTTCTTGCTAGGAAAAGGATTTAGCGATATCTCTCCTACTTGCACATCTGTTTATAGGCTCTCTGCAAGAAGAAAAATGTGGCTCTTTTTGCCTGACCTCGCAGGCAGTCACACTTTATCGTTGTCTTCCTTTGTTCCCTAAAAATCACTTATTCTGTTCTTTTTTAAGGTGCACTGACTTCATATTGTACAAACACACATGTTTTACAATCAATTTGTACAGTTAACACAATTATCACAGTGGTCCTGAGGTGACATATATCCTTAGTTTACAAAGATAATAGGATTAAGAGATTAAAGTAAAGACAGGTATAAGAAATTATAAAAGTATTATTTAAGAACTGATAAATATCCATGAAATCTTCAAAATTTTTTTCTTTTTTTGAGACGGAGTCTCTTTCTTGTTGCCCAGGTTGGAGTGCAGTGCCACAATCTTGGCTCACTGCAACCTCTGCCTCCAGGGTTCAAGCAATTCTCTTGCCTCAGCCTCCCTAGTAGCTGGGATTACAGGCATGCACCACCACGCCTGGCTAATTTTTTGTATTTTTAGTAGAGATGGGGTTTCTCCATGTTGGTCAGGCTGGTCTTGAACTCCCAACCTCAGGTGATCCGGCCTCCCAAAGTGCTGAGATTACAGGTGTGAGCCACTGTGCCTGGCCGAAATCTTCACAATTTATGTTCTTCTGCCACAGCTCCAGCTGGTCCCTCTGTTCGGGGTCCCTGACTTCCTGCAACACCCTCCAAGAAAGTGTCATTCCCTCTGTTGTCCTGTGTACTGTAATGCACAAAATAACTTATTTTGATGATCAGGGATCTTGGGCTCTTGACATACACACTGAAAAAAATGGGAGTTGTGTTATGTGTGTCCTACATAAACATGTCAGCAAACGTGGCCACCACTTTTTAATTCTCTTTTCTCAGATTGCCCTGAATTTTGCCACTTTGAAGTAATGTGCTGAATAATCTCAGCAACCAAAAATGATTATCCAGGAATGATTCTTTTGAGTGAGCTGATTTACTCTGAGTTATTTTATCCCTTTTAGTAGATTTTATACCCCTTTAGGAAATGTAAGAAGAATGAAAATATCTTCTTTTAAAAATGCTGGTATGGGGCCATGCCTATTAGAAGAAGCCAGATGGTCAAATAAATATTTCCCCAAACCCATTTTGACCTTGAGTATGTGAGGGGGTACTGTACTTCATTCCTGATACATTTTGTTTTCCATGTTGGCACTGAACTCCTGGTTTTCTGTTTGGACAGTGGAGATGGGGGCCCTCCTATTCATACTTCCTTTCTAAGTGAAGGGAAAGGCTGGTTTTTGCTGTTCCTTGTTATTCCAAAAACCCTGGTTTGGGGCCCATGTTCAGGCTGGCTCTCACGCTGGCTCTCAGCTGGTCAGATGCAATGTTCTTGAGAGGTGGGGACCTGATTGTTACCATAGTAGCATCCAAGAGAGGAAACAGTGTGAATTAAGTATTCAAAAGGAAGCACGATTTCAAAAAAAAAAAAAAGACTTGCAAGGAAAAACATGTAAATCTTCCTAATCATCTAAGAAGATTAGAGGATACAGCAGCCAGGGACTGGGGAGCTGACAAGGACAAAGGATGAAGATGAGTGGGATGAGGAGGAATTGAGAAGCCTGTTGTTGGGTGGTTATTCAGTTGGCCCTCCACAGCCATGG